TCGTTGACATAAGCCACCATTACCTAAGAAAGCAAGAACTGTCCAAGCAGTTTGCGAAGATTAACAACGTAGCATTACTGTGGCAGATTATATGAGCTGACCTTTTCTGCCTTCAGCTATGTATGCTATACTCTCCTATCCTCACATATCCCAACGAAAGCTCCTCGCGTTGAGCTCTTGCACCACCTATCCCAGCGTCTGTGCTGAGCCGTCCCTCTTCAGCACCACCGCACCTACCATAACGTAGCTGAATCGTGGAAGGGGGGGAGGAGGGAAGGGGGGGGAAATGGTCGCCAATGTAAGAAAATTGGCCCCGCTGACAGCCCCCCGATTCAGGGCCCCTTACGCCTATTTTCCCAGGAGGCACGGGAAAGCGCCTGGGGGGAGCGCGGCGTGGGCGGCCGGGCAGCCGCGGCTGGGCGTGAGCGACCGGCACGGCACCGACCGGGCTCCCCTCGTCGCTGCGCTCGCCGCTGTGGCGACCCAGGTTTCGCTCGAAACTGACACAGGTGGCAGAGGGCAGCGGGGGAATGCCGGGCGCCCCTCCTCGCCCTGGGAACGCCGGCCTTAGCTCGCCGCTCTCACCGCCGGCACGGGCAGCGCCCGCAGCCCCTCGCTGCGGCTGTCCCCCACCGCACGCCTGGCCCCGCACCGCCCCTCGCCCGGCCAGCCCCGCCGCGCCACGGGGTCACACGGCACCCGCAGGGCTGCGGGCGGGGCAGCCGTCGAGCGACGGGAGGCAGCGGCGAACATCGCTGCGGGACCCGCCGCCCCGCCCGAGGGCTCTTGTCTTCGCGCCACCATGCCCGCGGTGCCCCGCCCCGCCGTCCCCATCGCCTGCCGAGCAACGCGTGTGCACCGCGCCCGCGGCACGCGTGCGGCAGGGCCCGGCCTCGCCGGGGGCGGAGCCGGGGCACGGCCCCGCCGGCAGAGCGGCGGGGGCGGCGGGCTCTCGGCGAGGCCGAGCGGGCGGACAGCAGGGTCTCCCACGAGCGTACCAGGCGGGGGTGAGCGGGCGGAGAGATGGAGCCCGCAACACCACGCGGTGTAAAATGGCTGATCGTCCCTCAGCCGCCCGCGCCGCACCCCCTCGGCTGCTGTCGGGAGGGGGCAGCGGCCCTGCCCGCGCCGGTAACGGGGCGGCGGGGGAGCGCTGCGGGCGGCCCCGGGGCCGCGCAGCCTTATGTAACGTGCGGGGAGAGGCGCCGGGAACCATTTTACGCCTCCCGGAGGGCTGTGGGGGCGCACAGAGAGCCCGCGCTCCCTTCCCACGGGGCCGGGCGCTCCCACACCTGCCCGGCGGCGGTGCAACTCCCGCCCGGCATCGCACGCCCCCCGGCACCGCACGGCAGCGCGCACACACACACACACACACACACCCCGCACACCGCCCGCATCCCGCACACATACACACCCACCCCCGCCGCGCCGCCCGCAGCCGCCCCGCCCCCGCCGCCACGGCAGGCTGGCGGCGCCCGCTACTCACAGGCATTGGTGACGGCGAAGCTGTTGGCCACCTCCAGGTTGTCGATGTGGGGAGTCAGCCTGAACTCCGAGGTGGAAAACTGAACCATCCCTACCCGAAACGCGCTGTACTCCTGATCGGCGCCCCTCGGGAACAGCCCCCCTGCAGGGAAACACACACGCGTCAGGCGGGCGGGGGCCCCGTCTGTGCCCGGCGCGGGTCTGGGCAGGGCTGAGCGCCGGTGGGCGCCGCTGCCGGAGCGGCCCCGGCGGCGAGTCCGTCCCGTGCCTGGGGGCGCGGGGACCGGGCGATGCGGCCGGGGGAAGGCGAGGGGACCTCGCTGGCGCCCGGCGGGCACCGCGGTGGGACTCGGTACGCGGCGACATGACAGGAATGCCCGAGTGACAGCGGCGGGGATGACGGATCGCATGCGGGCACCTACCGATCTGTATGCTGTTAGAATTGACCCCCCAGATCAGTCCCCACAACACAGGAGCCAGGAAGACAGAAATATGCATAATCTTTTGCATTTCCAGGAAAAGTAGAGCATCCACAAAGCCACGGAAACAGCCCTTTCTTCTTCCTCCTCCTTCTCCCCCGCGGAGCGCGCGCTCGTCAGCAAATTAGATCCCGTGCGCTCCGGGCGAGCGGCCGGAGGGAGCAAGCCAGCCGCGGGAGGGGAAGGGACGAAAAGAGCCCCGCGGCAGACGCAGGAGAAGCCGCTTGTACGAGCTGCCACCGCCGCCGCTCCGGTGCAGCAGCCGGCCCCGGCGCTAGGCGGGATGGAGGGGATGGAGGTGCCGGCAGTGCCCGCTGCGCTCTCGCCGCCCGGCCCGGCCCGGCGCTGCCCTGGCACGCGCTCGCCCGCGCTCCCTCGCACTCAACGGGCGGGCGGCGCACCGGGCGAGGCGGCGGCGGCGGCGGCGGCGCCTGCGCGGTACCGAGCCTGGCGGGAGCGCGCCCGCCGCGCCCCCCACGCCGCCGAGCCCCGCCCCCTGCGCGCGGCCGCGGCGCGCGGCCGCCAACCTTCAGCACCGCGGACAGAGCTAGGATCGTCCGGATGGATCGGGGGCTGCTTCACAGCCTTCCCCACCATGTACTCTCCTTCCAAATACACCTGAAAAGCATTTCTCTCTCTCTCTCTCTCTCTCTCTCTCTCACTCTCTCTATATATATTTACATATATAGCCACTGAACCCAAACCAAGGTAGTGCAGGAAGGGTTAAAGCTATAGAGATATTTCATTTTCATGCATAACAGGGATTTGTGGTTGCTTTTCTGGTTTTCTTTTTTTCCCCTTTCCAAGATGGGTTCCAGCTGTATTAGCTAGACATGCTGTTTACTGAAAGCTAAATTTAACGTTTCTCAGTTTGGCACGAAGTCTGTCGCTGTGCAGCACACACACACACACACACACACATCTTATAGAAGAATAGGCAGTGTAGCATTACTGTGACCATGACAGTGAATTTGCTATTAAATTATCATCTGCCAGCATATTTTTAATTAATTTATTTTTTGTTAACAAAGATGGGAAATATCCAAGTAGGAAAGGATACTGATCTTGCATTGCATTTCCTTTTTATTATTATTATTATTATCTTTTTTCTTAATTATTAAATTTTTCATAATTCTCCTTTCCAGGAGAAGGGTCTCAAAACTTCAGATTTTCAGATGATGATATGAGTACATATCCTGAACACATAGGAAGTCGGCATTTTGAGGCCCGCTACCCACCACTAACTGATGATGAGTTTTATTTCCTTTGAGTCATTTCACCAGGAAATTCTGTACTAGCTTCTGTCTGTACTTGTGTAATCAATCTCCCTCTCTCCCACAATATGAGATGAGCCTGAAAAACAGAGAGAGCTTTAGCATCATGAACATATAGCCCCTATAGCCTTATCTGGGTGGATACCACCCTTCCTTGTTCTCTCCCCCAGCCTGGTCCCTCCCAAGAGACAGGTTTGGTGCTCCATGGTAAAACCTACTACTCAATTATGTGAAAGGAGCAAACAGTGTCACTGTGTCAACCAACAGATTAAACTATCAGAGAAAAGCTTGCATTCAGGAAGTCCTCACTGTGCCTTGGAAAATGAGATATAGAGGAATTTACTTTTAATAAATACTTTAGAGTAATACTGCCAATCTTTAACAGGAGTGCAGATAAATCATACTTTTTTTTTTTTTTTTTTTTGCCAAGGTCTACAGAAACCTCTTATGTATAACAAATGAGGGTAAAATGAAGCAAATATCTGAGTTGCAAGATTTTATTTTGTTATAATAAACAAAAAAAAATCATATTTGCTAATATACATTACAGCTGCATAATAAACTAAAATATAAAAAGGGGTTAGGATAAAACAATATATAAAGATGAAATCTAGAAGGATTTTTAAGTAATCATATTTACAGTTATGGAAAGCATTTAAATCTCTAAACTGTTGGGGGGGGGGTATGGTTTTTTTCTTTTGGTTCTTTTTTTTGGTTTGGATTTTTTGTGTGTGTGTGTGTCATAGAGAACACTGCCATTCCACATGTGCATCAAGACCTTTGACAGATACAGTAAGAATAATTCTTGATGATGCATGTTTTACCTGTTTTTATTGTTTATACTAAAGCACAGGTAAACATAACACTAAGTTTGGATCTCACTGTAGTGGGCGCTACAGAATAAGCAACCTTTCCTGAGTCAGTTTATACATGAAGGTCCTGAGCCCAGTTCTGTCATGATAGTGCCCTTGCTACACCTTTCAAGTTAAAGACCTGCAGAACATAGCATAGCACGTAGGTACAATAAAAATGATCCAAGTAAGAAGTTAATTACCAGTTACAGCTGAGGGTTCTGTAACTATTTGTGGTGAGTTAATAACTGCCGCCCTGGCAATCCAAACTGATATTGCCCTGGCTGTTGATTTTCTAATGCTTATTTTTCCATTTCAGAATTGTGAGCCTGAATATGTATACATAATGTACAATGTGTACATGTGTGTATATATATGCGTGTAGTATTCCAAATTTGTATCATCATATCAGAACATGTAGAAAAAAATGTCCAACTATATGACCACATTCTACTGTTGGTGTGCCAGAGAAAAAGAAATTTACTCAATTTCATACGAGTAAGTACAAAACAATAGCATGGGCTAGTCAATCAGCAAGAAAGCAGTTTAATCAGGATTTAATAATAGTAAAATATGCTAACAATAAAAGAAGCCCTTATTCAACTTTCCATTTTTTTTATAACAATCCTAAACTAATTGAAAAGATGCAAACAGGCAAAGGAGAAAAAAGAAATTTGTAGGTGATAGTAATTTATGACCATGTACTAAGAATAGACATACTCATTAACACTGTGCATGAGAAAATCAGATTACATTACTGGGAATCATATTCAATACTTATTGCACAAGGGAAAAGAATCTAGCAAGAGGTAAGTAAGGATTGTAATTTAAACAGAAGATTATATTCTTATATGCATTCTTTTAAATCCATGATAGAAGCTCATATAAAAATGCATTAGTTTGGAATCTGAACAAAGCATCAACAGGGGGACTGTTAATAATAAGCATCAATCTCTTGTTGAAAGGAACATAGCAGTATAATAATAATGAAAACAATGGCAGGTGACAGAAGGCCAGATATCAAATAATAGGATGTCAGAGCCCTGAAAAGCCTAAGTGCTTAATCATGATTCCATAGAACTCCAGGAGAGGTTTGCTATTTTTTTCAAAGAATTCAGGGTTCGATCATGGCTATACTTGATTAAACAGGTTCCAATGGATAATATTCTGAATGTAAGGTAGAGTGAGAATGCTAAGAAGTGGATGAGGAATCTAATAAGGTTGATATACACGTTAGAAGTAAAATATGAATTTGTCAGGAATACATTTCCTCTGCACTTCATCCTGGCACAATCCTGGTTGAGACAGTGACATTCTCTCACTCAGCCAGTTCAACTAAATGTTCATATGTTTGAGCAGGTGCATATGAGACATGGAAAGAAATTACTGAAGAACTGGACATTTTTGCCTTATGCTCAGAAACATTTTAGCGATCATTACATATACGTGTCAAAAAGATAGTTCAGTGGCTTGATAACATGGAGTACATGCTTCAGAAAAGTAAATTTGATAATATAAACCATTTGAGGAGATGGATGGAGTAAAAATCTCAGTTGTTAAATGCTGATATTTATTACATTCAGATTAGAACTAAAGTTTATCTTTTGTTCTGCTCTTTTAGGAATGTGTCATTGACCATACAGTCACGTGTTGAGCAGTGTAAATAATTTCTGAACTCTGAAAAATGCTCAGTTAAAATCAGACTCTTTTCTAAAAATCCTTGTTCAAAAATGTTAGATTATGAGAAGGCCCTTGGCTCAACTGAATGGTTATAGTGAGCCCTTCAGGACTTTTATGCTATCAGTATTTGGGGTTTATATTCAGAATTATTTTCATTTTTTTCATTATAAAAAAATCATAAAATGCATAGATTTTGTAGAATGCAAAAATGCTGTACCAGTGAATGAATCCTCTGATTTCATGGCCAATCAATAAATACTACCTTCAAAACATTGTTGTCTTTGGATTTTTGAAATCTATAGATTTTTTGCAAATACTAGTGGGTGTAAGAAAAGACGAAACACAAATGAAAGTTCCAAGTTCCAAGTCTTTCTCAAAGCGTATAGTCCCATATGTTCATTCTGGATATCAAGAGTCTTTTTAAAAATAAAAAGTACGTCCTGATCTTCCATCTCATTCTGCTTCCTCTTCTGATAAGCAAACATGTACTGTTCCCATTAACGGTACATATACCCAGGGAGGACACTCTCTGAGGAATAGAGGCAGCTTATGCTGCCTTCTATTATGTGATTCTGATGATGAAAAAAGCAACATCACTACCCTGTGGTACAACTAATATAAATTAATTAGTAATAATCGTACAGCTTTCATTTCTCTTTGCTGTGTAGCTGTAGCTGTGACAGTGCAGTTTGTTACTATCTTAACTAACCATTGTGAGGAATTTATGGCAATTTGGGATTGACTATATTTATCTGAGCTACTTGCATTCTTGTTTTTTGCAAGAAGTGTTGTATCTATTTTGACAATAAAATCACTAAAGTATATGCTAAATTAACCATTGTATGGAAAATCTGCTATAGATTACTTCAGGTTTTTTTCTGCTGAGATTATAGCAAATTGTATTATTAAACCTCTGGAAAAAGATAAAAGAAACATTTTCAGGTTAGACTATGCATGCTGAACCCATGATTCTCATCTGGCAATATCTTCTTTTTTCTTCCAATGATATAAAAACTTCTATTGCTTTGTCGCTTTGTCTCAGACCTGAGGGATACATTTCTTATCCCTGTCCTTATTTTCCCTGCCTACCTGCTATGTCTCATCTTCTTTGCTGTCTCCTTCCTTGCCTGATTTCCATCTGGTTTTCCAATGCATTGCCATCAAAATGTCTTTTTCTCTATGGTTATTCCTCCTGTGGAGCACAGCTAATTCAAATGTGTTGGGTTTTTGATTTAGACTATAATAGTCAGCCTTGTTCCTCTCTCTTTTCATCTGCCACCTCTCCCATCTGTTCTACAAGTAATGCCAGCCTTGACTCCAGCGTTGTTTTTTATTCTCATCTTATTCCTTTTTTCCATGTCAGCATCTATGTTTGAAATATCAACCTTAAAACCATTTTTCAGGTCATTTCTTAATCATTGAAATTCCTCTTTAGCCTTGCACCTTTTCTGTCACCTGCGAGAAATGTATTGCTCATTATTCAGAATGAAAAGCCCTTTGGAGATGATGAAGACATCGGTTTTTATATACTGGTGGACTGTTCTCTGCTGAGGTATGGTACTTGTCAAATCGCCAGTACTTGTCAAATCACCTCACTTCCCTGCATTCGTAAACAACACACTGAAATGTTAAAAGGCAAATACAAGCTGACAAGAATGTTAACAGTCTGTTCTCTACTGACATATCTGGGGTACACTTTCAGTGTACTCACGCTCTGATTTCTATTCACTTGTGACTTGAAACTTTTTTCTGTACAACAGAAGGAATTTCCTGAAAACTAGGTGTTTTTTCCCTCAGGAATCATCACCATG